CTTTCTTCCTCTCCGTCGCGGGCGGCGCGAGCGTACGAGGACGGAGTAACGGCGCGCACGCGCGCGCGCGCGCGCGCGCGCGGATGCGTATACAATACGGGTTTTAACGATTTCACCGATTATTCCGTCATGCCCGCGATGCCCGCGATGCGGAAATCGCAGGATCGCGATGATCGGGTGCACGCACGATGCTTCTTCGATTTAGATTAGCCGAGAGCAAGATCTTCCCGATCAAGCGACTCCGGCTCCGACAGAGACGGAATTATTCGTTGGCAGGCATCTACCTGTCGGAGAACAGTGCTCCGAGTGCTCTCGTGATTGTGAATTGTTCATTTTGAATAGGGGATAATTGTGAAATCTCGATAATGACGAAAAATACAAGTTTCGATATAGAATGCTATGTTTTGTCGTACGCGCCAAATGTGTGCCGCCGATTCGTTATGCACATTGTATAAATCTCGGGGATCATTAGCTGGAATTTTTTGCCGTTACGCGAAATATCATTATAAAAAGATCGTGATTGCATTTCGGGATATTCAAATTAAAATTAAATTATATTTTAAATAAACTAATTAAATTATTTTGACATACCTATTTGGTTATCTATAATAAAAGATTTTGTACTCACAAAGGATCTGATATAACTGTCCGGAATCAATTTGATTTTTCCGAAAATATATTCTTAAACACAAAAATCTAAGAAAGACATGTATTTTTTTAAACAATCCTTCAAGTTAAGTATTTGATCCCAATTAATTATTAGGTGAGATATGTAGAAAGAAGTGAGATATATAGAAAGAAGTTTTAGAGAAAACCCCTTGATTTTTTATGTATTTTATAACTGTGTGTTTAAATTTTTCAAATATTTTTCAAAACCCGCATTCTCCATATTATTATTTTTATAAAATTTTTCAGCTTATCTCCCCACTAAACCAGGAATGTAACTGCTATGTAACATAGATGTAAGTGTACATGTTTTTAAATGGGTCTCTAAAATTTTGTAAAATAATTTTATTATATACAGTTGAATTTGGCAAAATTCTGTTTAATTTTTGTTTTTCAAAGAAATTTAAATTTCATAAAAATAATAATGGAGGATGAGATATTTTAAAAAACATTAAATGTTTAAAAAACGATCTAAAATACACAGTTATAAAGTAAATAAAAAAAACGTTTGTCTACAATATTTTTCTATATATCTCATCGCGCGTTTCGTTTTAGCTTTGAAAGCTCGTTTCGCCTCTTAAATCTCAAATTGGACAGAAACAATTTGATTATGAAAAAAATTTGTGTCTCTTATTTTGCATTTATTTCAAAGAGGATCAAATCGGTTCCAGATAGTTGTGACAGATCCGTCACAATTGTCAGTCAAAGTTTTAGTTAAAAAAAAGGAAAAAATAGTAGCGATGCTGAAACAGTAGTTCCAAGTTAGTAGGCGTTAATCAAGTAACGCGAACGCATGATTGCGATCTTCTTTTCGCATTTTCCGCGAGAAGAGGACGCAGGAATGTAGTTCACGGGCCGAGCCGATACTACTGAGCTAATTTAGCCCCGAACGCGCGCGGCTGTCTAATTAAGCTGGCTTTCGCGCAACAAAGCGCCGTACGTGTGGCCGCAATCGGGCGGGCTTTACAACGCCGGCCGGTATCCGGCGCTTCCACGTTGTTGACCACGATCGTCCTCCACTCGAGCCGGAGGAAACTGCGGGGAAAAAAGACCGAGGGGCGCGCGGGGTGGCGTCGTAGAGGAGCCAGAAGAAAAAGCTCTTGAGCTTTGAATATTCAGTAGGTACGTACCGGTTCGCGCCGGCTTCCTCCCCATCTGACCTTATTTTTCTGACGGAAAAAACTGCAGCTTCCGTCGCTGCTTAGGGATTCGCCTCGCCGTTGACGAAGGGTACACGTCGCCGGAAATTTGTACCAACGCCCACGGTTAGACGAGGGACAGACCGATTTGAATTAATGTCAGTGCGTCGAGACGAGAACGCGTCGCCGATAAACCGTCGATCCTGATAAGCGAAATTCCAACGGGATGGGAAATGGTACCGAGGGACCGACGACGGCCGTATCGATCCCTCGGGAGTCGGTAGAACAGGTAACTGGTCTGTATCATCCACACTGAAGTCTTCCTCCAGACTGATAAACTAACGGTCGTAGGTAAAATACAGGGCGTACGGAGGATGATAGCGTGTTATCATGCGGTCGGTAAAACCGAGATTTTGCAAAATCAAGACGGACGATCAAGTTGAATATCGCAATTTTTCTATATATATTTTTTCAGAGGCTTTAATTGACATTCTCTATAGAAGCTAGCTAAATAAAGCTGAACATACGAAGTTATGAAAACATATGAAGTATTTCATATTAAATGGGCAAAGTAAAATTAAATAGATGGCGTAATTTTTAACGAGGTCAAAAAAAAAAAGCGTTTTATGCGAATAGATTAAAATCTCTATGGTTTATTTCCAAAAGTATACGTTTAAAAGTATACGTGTCAAGTATGAAATAATACCAGATTTATTTTTGAAAATATATAATTACTATATTTATATATAATTACTATATTTATAAATATATAATTACTATATTATAAAAAAATCGACGTACTTACCTGGATATTTGCAGTCATGTTCGTCGCTACCATCTTGGCAGTCTTCCACAAAGTTGCATCGCTGAGAGTCCAAAATGCATCTATTTACGTCGCATGCGAATTCGCCAGCACTGCAGCCTGCAAAATGAATTGCATTGCATTTTCGCAGTGTTTTGTGAAACTGTTTTAATTTCTTTATGATTATTTCATAGCTTTCAAACTTGAAAAACTACATTTATATTCGCAAAAATATAAAATTTATCTTTAAAGATAAAAAGCGTTAGAAAAATGAACACATCTTATTCTCGTTACACATTACGTGCATTGTAACACATTACATGCATTGTGTGAACAAAAGTTTACAAATTCTAGTAACATATGTACATTTTTACAGAACACTTATAGATGATGAAACATATGATTGGAAGTTTCTAAACGTGTCTTATAATGTATGCATAATAATGTACACTGCTATATTATTAATTATATATAAAAGGAGTCATATAAGAGAAGCTTATACATATATATTCATGCACATTTATACATACATTCAAAATGCAAAGAGAATTAAACACACATTTAACTGGAAGAACCGTTATTTTAACGAATATTTTAACGAATTTTTATCGAGATAAAAAATTCAAAAGTTTCTTCTAATAACTTTAAAAACTTTTCCTTCATTTCTTTCTTAAATCACATATCCGTTAAAACGGCGAAAATCGCGGTTCTTCTAGATCGCGCCGACTTTCAGCGTTAATCCCCATCCTCGGCGGAGATCAACCGGCTCAACCTGTACCTGGATGCGGGCAGTCGACCTCGTCACCACCGTCATCGCAATCCGGAACGCCGTCGCACTCCTGCACCGAACAAATGAAACGACTGCCATCTTGACAGCGTACCGTGTCGTCGGCGCGACATTTATCCGAAGACGACCTCAGCGTGGATTCCTCGTCCTCCCTATCATCGAAGTCCGATATCTCCGGTTTTACCTCGGACACTTCGAATAGGTTTGTACGATGTTGCGGTGTCAGGGTGACGTGCACAAAATCTGTTGTTTCGTTAATCAACGTGGTTTCAATATCGAGATTGTGATACGTATGTCATGTCGCACGCGTGTTAGTAAAAAGCGAATTAGGCGAATAATAAGGTGAAACCGACGAAGTGATATCACTTTCTTTTAGGTCTCTTAATCATTTTGGTTTTACTAATATTGCTTGAACGTTCCACAAAATATATAAAGAAAAAAGAAAAATTTACTTTTTAAAATATTGTATTGATAATTTTTGTAAGAATATTTTTGTCGAAATAAATTTTGCTTATATTACATTATATATTTTAATTCTCTGTACAGATCTCTCTTCCATAGATTATTATTGCATTTTTATAAATTATATTAAAAAATAAATTTATAATTAATTGCATTTTCTTATCTAAACAAAGTTAAAAAGCATATCATATATCATAATTTTTAAGTAAGAATATTTTTATCGAAATAAATTTGGTTTACATTACATTCTACATTTTAATTCTCTGTATAGATTTATCTTCCATAGATTATTACTGTATTTTTATAAATTATACTAAAAAATAAATTAATTATAATAATTAATTGCATTTTCTTATCTAAACAAAGTTAAAATATCGGAAGATAGATTAAATGAAAGTTGAAATGATGACAGAAAATATAATACAGGAAAATATAATACAGAAAGAGAGAAAGAAGAGAGTTGGATCTTCAAGATATTTAAAGATATAAAGATGCATTTATGTAAATGCAATATTTTGTTATAAATTAGTGCAGTTAGAAGATTGAAATAATAAACGATCCATCCCGTATATATAGATTACATTGTGACCTTTGTTAATCAGGAGAGGAAGAGAATTATGCGATTTTTACAGATATAAGCTATAAACAACGAAGTAACATTATGTACAGCTTTCTATTCCTTCTCAAAATCAAATCTTGTATACTTACCTCTGTCCTCTGTCTTGTTTGACGAATCTGTCGGACAATTGTCCTCATCGGAACCATCATTACACTGTAATATGCCATCGCAGCGAGATTCTAGAGGCACGCATTCGCCACTTCTGCACCTTAATTCGGCTGTTTGATCGCATTCCGGCTCTGTGTCCTTGTCTCCTGCATTCGGGTGTCGTGTGTCGTGTTTATGTATATTCATCGTGTCGAGAGTAGGCGAAACAAGTAGACCGTGACGTCAATCAGTGTTCATTTGAAAAAAGATTAGAAAAAAAAAAAAGGAAAACAAGAATGAGAACAGAAATTTAATCAAGAAATAAATTAAAATTAAAACGAGTAAACTTAATAAGTTAAAATAAATTTATAAACTAATGATAATAAACTTAATAAAAATCGAATAAAGAATACAGAAAACTCTGACTGGAGATTGTGAAACTTTGAGTGAGGCTTGCATCTAAAAGCGAAAAATTGCGTTCCTCACGTGCACGTCTATTCCTAACAACGTTCTAATAATCTAAGCATGCCGAAATCGATGCGATTTCACGATTTCACGATTAAAATGATCGATTTCAACTTTCGATATTAGACATATCGTCTTCTCGATTGTCGTAATTTTTTTTCTACACACAACCATTAATCAATCCTTCGTTGAGCAGTCGACCGTTCGATATTCACTAAGGCTTCGCACTAGGTCTCGCTATATTCGTACTTTTCTCCAGCTTACAGCATCAGGGAAAGCTGAACGAATTACGAAGTTTAGTTTCGAAAGCTCCAACGTGAAATCGATCATTTCCAGTCGTTAGCGGTAGCCATCCAAGATGGAAATACCTTGGAATATCCTGAACGTGAATCCCTCCGGACCTACTTGGATGCTGCCCAAGGAATGATACTGCAGCTGTTGCTCTAGGATGGCACGCACCTCGAGCTCGTCCGTGAACGTCGAACCAATGTCTAGGGTAACTTGTGACGTAAAAGCGTCGGTTGTTGGCCTGGAAGCGAAATTTAAATTATTAGACTGAACGCAAAGGGGCGACGTGAAGAATCAAGATGGAAACGGATTGGTCATACTTACGATATTTTGACGACGCTGGCAAAATGATTGTATCCTGGAATGTGACGATTGTACAAATTCTCGACGGCATGTGTGAGATTGCCGCTCAACTCTCGGTATTCGGGACTGTTTCTGTCAGAATACTCTCGTCTATAAGGCTCGACGACCGTCAACGTTATTCGATAGAATCCTGTAAGATAAAGATATTAGTTAGTAATAAATAATCAATTTCTTAAAAAATATTATCTTTTATAGTATTTTTAAATTTAAATATTATTTTTAGTCAAACTTTTTATTTTACTGTGCTATTGTTTATTTTATAAAATTAATCTACTAACTAAGTCTTTGATGTTACAATAATATGTCTAATAATTCAGTGAACATAAAAAATAAAATAAAAAAAATTTAGCTGTTACTTTTAAAAATATTGATAAGATTTTTTTAATATGTTTTAGAAAGAAGAGCATTTATATTGTCGTGAAAATAAAAATATATTCAAGTAACATGACCTAATTTTATTTTTAAGAAAATATTTTTATTACGAGAGAGAATATAGTATAATTTATAAAAAAATTTAAATAGATTTAAATAGATTCAAATAGATTTTGATATTGAATTTCTATAATATAACTCTGGCAATATAAGTCAACATATACACGAATACTTCTTTATCGGAAATATTTTTGTCGTGTAAAATAAATGATACATTTTAATAAAAAGCTGCCAATCTTTCGTTTCAAGATTAAAAAAATATTTTAAGAAATTTTTCTGATTTTGATCGATGAAAATTTATGTAACAAATAAATTGGTACGACGATCTTAATTATTCTTGTTTTATCACATACTGCTTAGAAAACTACCATCTACTATAACTATTATATTACAAAACGTTATTCTACTAATGTTTAAATTAATTAAGGTTTAACAAATGCATTATCTCTTTTAGAAAGACAAAGAGACAAATAATGAATTAATTTTAATTTTATTCTTTTTCAATTCTTTACATATTTTTTAATGAGTAAAGTTGCGATTCAATAAAGAATTAGAGACTTACGTGCTTTGCCATCAGTATTTCGATGTTGATTTCCTGTACTTGGAGGATAGCCCACTTCGCCTGCGCTGCCTTCGATCTCTCCTGAACCAGCCAAATCTTCGTCATCGCTATTTCCGTATGTTATTGGTATTCTTTGACTTTCTGCGGTATTGCTGATTTCATTTTCGTGCTGTAAAGATGTAATTGATAAATGATATTTTTGTGCAACATATATTTATATAAGGAATAAGTATTATAACTGAAGATTAAAAAGCATTACGAAGCATGTTTAAATTATCCATATGTTTAATTATATATATATTTAGTTATATTATTCTCCTGCAAAGATTTATTTTTTTTAAATTATTCATCCTTTAAATGAGAAATATTTGTATGATTTAATTAAATATGACAGACTGATGAAAAGTTAAAAGTAAATGCTTCCATACCTCGTCATCCACTTCGTTATTATCCTCGTTCTTTTCGAGAGTTAATCTTTCGATGCCACCGATACTCGCTTTGACATTTGGCACTTCGGGATGATCGAGAGTGTGATTTCCTTCATTTGAGATGACCGATTGGTCAATATCTTGATTTTGATTCTCGTCATCCTCTTCTTCTGTTTGGTCTATTAGAAAAAGACAATTGAAAAAGTGAGCAATGACGTAACTAAAAAAGAAGTAAGCGACAGAGAAGAAAAAGATATAGTTTTCTCTAATTATACATAAGAGAGAATTAATACCTGGTGGTGCTTGCGTAGTCGTGGTCGTGGTCGTGGATGATGAGACAAAAAAGTCAAAAAGTCCTCTCTTTATTCTGTGAAAAAAAGAATCATCTTGATGCGTTTCGATCAACGGTACTTGAGCCGCAATTTGTTTGCCTTCTGGATCGAAAATCAGGTCATCATCCTGAAAAATTTCCAAAAAATGTCATATCAAAGATATGAAAGATTCATTATGACAAACTAATAATTGTTCTTTTATTGATAACAATTAATTATAAATAAATGTAACAATAATCCCTCTAATTTTACTCTATTTATTAATTGTCTTTACGGATACGCATAAATTCCTAAAGTTTTTTACAAAATGTAAAATCCAAGAACCCCGCTCTCTCGTATTACGAACGATTTCGAAAAATATTCTTTGCATTTGTTATAATGTTTCTTATGACAAATGCATAAGTCACTATCTCATCGGGTGCTCAAGAATCTGCCACCAGATAACCACACATGTGACCGCGCGCGCGCGTGGCAGTGGCGGCACGTACGTGTGAAAGGCCATCGGGCGTGTGTATCACTGAGTATCCTCACGTGTCCCTCATAAAGAACCAATTCTCACCTAAACACACGATATAAATTCAGGATCGTCGGGCCATTCTGCCGGTAGCGGCGCGTCGTGATTCCGTAAGAACCGCGCGACCGGCAAACTGCCCAGGATTCGAGCGCGCGGGTCAATGACGTCGCTCGTGCGGGATGAAAATGGAGAACCGGCGTACCGTACCGGTGGTAGGTATAAGCCGGAGGAGCCAACCGGAATAACGTATCGTTATGGGCGAATACCTGACGATCCCGGGTTACGTACAACCCGCCCGGTTATGCAAGCGTGCTGCCGTTACAGCATAAGTATGAATAATACACCGGGCGGTGCTACCCTACGTGCGTTTCTTACGTGCGAGAAAAAAGTAAAACGACGATCGATTATTAGCGAATACGTCACATTAATAAATTCCTTCGTCGTTACATTTGCCTCCTCACGCTCGCGAGGTGACGGTTCAGCTATAGAAGCGACTAATAAGAGATCCTAATAAGAGGTCCCAATTTTTGTAACTGTAATTTTTTTATTCATTCAGTTTCATTCATTTTGCAATTAAAAATTCTTTTTCTTTCCATATGAAGGATTTATTTAATTTTTATAATACAATTTTGTATTTTTTTATAATACAAAATTCTATTTTATTTTCTTAATAAAAATTAAGAATAAATTAAAGTTATTTTTCTCTTTGTTCTCTTTGTTAAAGATAAATTAAGATTTATCGGGATTTCCTTTCAACGGAGTGATTTGTACGGGACAAACAAGGCAGGTGTGTGTCGTTTTCGTCACGCGCACAAAGTGCATGACACTGCAGCACGTGAGCGGAAATATCGTGTCTTCCTGCATGAGAGCTCGTGCACCGGTAATGAAGCTTAAATCGCGCCAGACGAGACGTATTATTACGGTCGCACATTTACATGGCGAGTATCATTTAAAGATTCGCGTGCAGCATCCGCGCACCTACACGCGAGCTCTCCGGATTCCCTCCGTACGTGCACACGCCGTCGAAATGCAGCCGCGAGCACGGCGGCGTGTATACGTTATGACGTAACTTTGAACTCGGTTTTAATGAG